ATGTTGGACTCTCTTCAAGTTACTACTTCTACAGTTCTACTACTGCGCTGCTTCATCAAGTCGCCACAACTATGAACTATTTAATTCTACTACCACCAAACATACAAATCGTTGCAACTCCAACGTCATCCCACATTTGTGGAGCATAATGCGTGAAAGAATATGCCGTAGAATATTCAAGTCTCAGATATGCTCTCCTGTAATCTAGGAAGATATTAGCTATTTGTAACTAATGTGTGTATATAAACACTTGTAATCTGATTGATAATGACAAGGGAAATATTCAGACTTACATGGTATCAGAGCAAGTCTCAATCTGATACTTCTCTTCGTTCTTTTCTTTTCTCTTTCGTGTGACTCAATTGCTCTTCTACAATCTGCTCTATGGCTCAAATTGAGAGGGCTTTCGGAGTCACCAATATCAAACATCACATTCCGCTCATCCTTGATCAAGATGAATTCAATTACGATGCGTGGAGAGAACTCTTCACAATGCACTGCCTCACCTTTGACCTCCTTGGTCATGTCGACGGTTCCTCATCACCAACCGGCGATGACGATGCTCCATGGATGAAACGTGATGGGCTTGTCAAACTTTGGATCTATGGAACCCTTGCCAAACCGTTGTTCAAATCCGTCTTCCAAGTTGGTGGGACAGCTCGTGACATATGGCTACGGATCGAGAATCAGTTCCGTAACAACAAGGAAGCCAGAGCCATTCAGCTCGACAATGACTTGCGGACCAAGGTAATCGGTGATTTATCTATTAAAGAGTACTCACAGAGTCTCAAATCAATTGCAGATCTCCTGCAAAATGTTGCTGAACTAGTAGGTGATAAGACACTGGTCATGTACCTGTTGAACGGACTTAGCTCCAAGTTCGATCACATCATCAACGTAATCAAACATCAGAAGCCGTTTCCGAGTTTTGATGAAGCCAAAAATATGCTGGAGATGGAAGAAACAAGGCTAAATCGCTCCAATTCAGTCCTCCCAACAAACACTGACCACTCCTCCTCCTCGACGGCTCTTGTTGTCATGCAATCAGAGTCCAAACCTAAGGAGGATACTCAACATCGCAACCAACGCAACAACAGAGGAAACAGAAGAGGAGGCCGCGGAAGAGGAAGGTACAACAATTACCAACGCTTCTCTCCTTGGAACATGCCTCCTTCATATTGGCCTGGTCAATACAACACATGGCAGAATCAGTACGCTCCTTGGATGTCGCAGCAATACCCACGACCAAACACTCCCCGCTCTGTCACTCCTAAAGAAGCTCACTTCGCTGACACCTACCAACCTACGAGGGACTTTGCAGAAGCGTTTAACACGATGACACTGCAAGAACCTTCCCCACACTGGTACATGGACTCAGGAGCTTCGTCACATCTCGCGTCTTCGTCAGGTACGCTTCAATCTGTTTTTAAATTGAACACCGCAAACTCTGTCATAGTAGGTAATGGATCCTCCATACCAATAAAGTCATCTGGTAATTCTTTCCTTCCTACCGTGACACGACCTTTACATCTTAAAAATGTTCTTGTGGCTCCTCAAATTGTTAAAAACCTTATTTCTGTGCGTCGTTTCACAAAAGATAATTGGTGTTCTGTGGAATTTGACCCGATTGGTTTTTCTGTGAAGGACCGGCAAACTCGGAGAACAATACTCCGCAGTGAGAGCTCTGGCGATCTCTATTCAGTACCTTCTCTTCTCAATAATACTCGCCACTCTGCTCTTGTTTGCGAGTCTCCATCTCTTTGGCATAAGCGTCTTGCCCATGCTAATAATGATACTCTCAAGTCTTTGTTTTCTTCAAACTCTATTCATTTTAATAAAGAGGGTTTTCATTCTTGTTCTGCTTGTCATTTAGGAAAACACCTTAAACAACCGTTTTCCAAATCAACTTCACAGACAACTAAGCCATTCGAACTCATACACTCGGATGTGTGGACATCTCATGTCCTTAGCTTAAGTGGCATACGCTACTATGTGCTCTTTTTAGATGATTTTTCTCACTATCTATGGGTTTATCCAATACGAAACAAGAGCGATGTCTTTTCCAAATTCTTACATTTCTCTGCTTTTGTTCAAAAACAGTTTGGGGCAAATATAAAAGCTTTTCAATGTGACAATGGGGGGGGGGGAATACAATAACAAAAACTTTCATAATCACTTTGATTCCAATGGCATTGTTTTTCGTTTTTCATGTCCTCACACCTCCCAACAAAACGGGAAGTCTGAAAGAATGATCAGAACTATTAACAATGCCATTCAATGTCTCTTGTTTCAGTCTCACTTGTCTTCCTCTTATTGGGCAGAGGCGCTTCATGTGGCGGCGCATGTCATCAATATATTGCCTTCCAGTGCTATCGCCAACAAGACACCTCATTCCCTTCTATTTGGTCGTGAACCTACTTACGATCACCTGCGTGTCTTTGGCTCTCTTTGCTTTCCAAATGTCAACACCGCCACAACACACAAACTTGCTCCTCGTTCCACACCTTGCCTCTTTCTCGGTTATCCTCTTCTCCACAGAGGCTACCGATGCCTAAACCTAAAGACAAACCGAATCATAATATCTCGCCATGTTATATTTGATGAGACTACTTTTCCAGCTGCTCAAAAATTCCCCACAAACTCCTCTTCTTATCACTTCCTAGAAGCCTGTGATCCTCCTTCCCCCATCTTCCAGGATATTCTTCAAAGTCCTCTTACTTCTGCTCCAGCGCCGGTGATCCCTGCTCCACCGGCAACACAAACAGCCATTCCTCCTGCTCCTGAACCGCATGTCATTTCTTCTACTCGAATGACAACAAGAGGTCAGATGGGTATTGTTAAACCAAAGAAAATATTTACCCTTCTTACCTCATCGGTTTCTAGGATCCCAACAACTCATCAAAAAGCTCTTTCTGATCCAAATTGGAAACCTGCAATGACAGAAGAGTACGATGCTCAAATTAAAAATCAGACTTGGAGTCTTGTACCTAGACCGTATGGAGCTAACATTATTAATTCTATGTGGCTGTATAAGCATAAATATGATGCAGATGGGACACTCAGGAGACACAAAGCAAGACTGGTCGGTAATGGCAAAACACAAGAAGCTGGAGTCGACTATGATGAGACGTTTAGCCCTGTTGTCAAGCCTGCAACAATTCGAAGTGTACTCAACATTGGACTTAATCGAGGATGGGAGTTTCGCCAACTTGATGTCAAGAATGCTTTCCTCCACGGAACCATTTCAGAGACCATATATATGCATCAACCTCCTGGTTTCGTTGACAAGCGATATCCTCATTATGTTTGTAAATTGCATAAAGCTCTTTATGGTTTGAAACAGGCCCCACGCGCATGGAATGCAAGATTCAGCACCTACGTACAGAGTCTTGGATTCTCAACCAGCAAATGTGACGCATCACTTTACATCTACAAGAGAGGCCACGACTTAGCCTACCTGCTATTATACGTCGACGACATCATTCTTACTGGCTCAAGTGCAGCTCTCATTGACAAGATCACGACTCATCTAAAGAAGGAGTTCCCAATAACAGACATGGGACGTCTGTCTCACTTCTTGGGCATAAAAGTTGATTTTAATGATGCAGGTATTCACTTGTCACAACAGCAATACGCCAAGGAGATTATTGAGCGTGCAGGAATGATAGGTTGCAAACCACTCTCCACTCCAGTAGACGTTAACTCCAAGCTATCTGCTGAAGCTGGTCCCCCAGTCAAAGACCCTACACATTATCGACGTCTAGCCGGAGCTCTTCAATATCTCACGTTCACGCGCCCGGACATACAATATGCTGTCCAGCAAATCTGTCTTTTTATGCATGATCCACGAGAGCTTCACCTCACAGCCCTCAAGCGCATACTACGCTATGTTCAAGGCACCCTGTCCTTCGGCCAGCAGCTATACAAGTCCAAGCTAGATACACTTACAGCTTACTCCGATGCTGATTGGGCCGGTTGTCCAGACACAAGGCGCTCAACTTCTGGGTTTTGTGTCTACCTAGGTGAAAATCTTGTCTCCTGGTCATCTAAACGGCAGCCAACAATCTCCAGGTCCAGCGCTGAAGCTGAATATCGTGGTGTTGCAAACACTGTGGCTGAAACTTGCTGGATACGAAACCTGCTACTGGAGCTCCAACTTCCACTCAAGAAAGCGACTTTGATCTTCTGCGACAACATTAGCTCCGTATACATGTCTTCAAACCCCGTCAAGCATCAACGGACAAAACATATAGAGCTTGACCTCCACTTCGTACGCGAGAAAGTTGCTCTCGGACAAGCCAAAGTCTTACATGTCCCGACCGCTTTTCAGTATGTTGATATCTTCACAAAAGGATTGCCAACGTCACTCTTCACTACCTTCAGAAACAGCCTAACCATCAGACAATCCGATGCTTCGTCTGCGGGAGGGTGAAAGAATATGCCGTAGAATATTCAAGTCTCAGATATGCTCTCCTGTAATCTAGGAAGATATTAGCTATTTGTAACTAATATGTGTATATAAACACTTGTAATCTGATTGATAATGACAAGGGAAATATTCAGACTTACAATGCGTACGTTTGTGCATTGTTTCTTACGTAACCCTCAAGTCTTACACTTTGTTTTCGGTATTTTGTAAACCTCAACTCTGATATATGAATGATATCAACATTTTAGCAAAGAATTTTTTTTTTTTTTTTGGAGAACACAACATGGTGAACGTTTTTACATTTTACAGTCTGCTCCTATCAAGTCCCAAAAACCCTGAGAAATATCCATTCAAAAACCGGTTCAATCTAAAAACTCTTTACCTAAACCAAAATGTTGAATCAAGACCACGGTTTAAAAAATTACCAATTGGGCCGTCAAACTTTTAGCCCAATTAAAAACCCAACTGAAACGCCACCGTTTCGATCCTCATCTTCGACGTTAGTCGTCTTCCTCCGTCTCTCTCATCCACCTGATTCCTCCTCCGTCGCGTAAAAAACCCTAATTCTCACCAACCATGGCGACTCCGAATCTAGAGTGCCGAATGTACGAATCAAAGTACCCGGAAGTAGACATGGCTGTGATGATCCAGGTCAAAAACATCGCCGACATGGGAGCTTACGTGTCACTCTTGGAGTACAACAACATCGAAGGCATGATCCTATTCTCGGAGCTCTCCCGGCGCCGGATCCGGAGTGTGAGCAGCTTGATTAAGGTCGGGAGGATCGAGCCTGTGATGGTTTTGCGTGTGGATAAGGAGAAGGGTTACATTGATTTGAGTAAGCGTAGGGTTAGTGAGGAGGATGTGCAGACGTGTGAAGAGAGGTATAATAAGAGCAAGCTTGTTCATTCTATCATGCGTCATGTTGCTGAGACTCTTTCTATTGATTTGGAGGTAATTCAAAAAAATCGGATCTTTAGTGGTATTCATTGTGCATATAATGTAAAGTAGTTGAAACTAAAGAAACTGTTTCTTAACTTTTAACTAAAAACGCTAAGAACCGGTTCTTAAATAATTTGCTAAGAACCGGTTCTCAAATTTGCTAAGAATCGATTCTCAAATAAGGACTTTAAGGACCGGTTCTCAAATAAGGACTTTAAGAACCGGTTCTTAACGTGTTTAGTTAAAAGTTAAGTAACAGTATCTTAGGTTCCGTTAAGAACCCTGCCTTAAGAATCCAGGGTTAATCATGATTTTAGTGATTAGATTTATTATAGTTTATATTATGCAAATTCTTTATGTAGTCTTAACTGTTAAGTAGCTACCTTTGTGTGGTAATGCTTGTGTGGTGTGATGCTGAGACTTGAAACTGTTATATCTTAGTGATTTAGATCTCTTAGTCTATGTTTATTAGAGCTTTACTGAAATAATCTTTGATTAGGAAAATTATTATAGTGTGAAGTAGTATCATTGTGTGGTGATGCTGAGGCTTGAGACTGTTATATCTTAGTGATTAGATCTCTTCTTGAACATCTATTATAGTTTACGCTACCTTGAGACTTGACACTATTATATATCTGAGTGATTAGATATCTTCATCTACAGCTATCATGGTTTACTGATGTAATCTTTGATAGTGTAAAGTAAGCTACCTTTGTGTGGTGATGTTGAGATTTGGAACTGTTATATCTTAGTGACTAGATCGCGTCATTTACATTTATTATAGTTTATTGATGTAATCTTTGATTATGCAAATTCTGTATAGTGTAATGTAGCTATCTTTGTGATGTGATATGCTAAGAGTTAGAGACTGTTATATCTTGGTGATTAGATCTTTTACTGATGTAATCATTGATTGTACATTGATTTGAGTTTTCCTTTTGCAGGAGTTGTATGTGAACATCGGTTGGCCTTTGTACCGTAAACATGGTCATGCTTTTGAGGTAAGAACTTGTGAACTGAGCTTTAATTCTATTTCTCTTGATGGTTATTTATCAAATGTTTTTGTTTTTGTTTTTTTTGTTCAGGCCTTCAAGGTCTTAGTGACTGATCCTGATTCTGTGTTGGGTTCACTCACCCGTGAGATCAAAGAAGTTGGGCCTGATGGGCAGGAGGTATATACTTTCATCTTGTTTTCTTTTAGTTGTTAGTTCAAACTTCCTTTTGATGCGTTACTAGTTTTCTATTTGCAGGTAACTAAAGTTGTACCTGCTGTTACGGAAGAAGTGAAAGATGCACTTGTGAAGAACATTAGGAGGAGAATGACACCACAACCAATGAAAATCCGTGCTGATATTGAATTGAAATGTTTCCAGTTTGACGGAGTTGTTCACATTAAGGTCGTAAACCCTTTGTGGATTATCTAATAACATATGAAAAGAATACACCAATGATTCTCACATTTTGCGTTTTTCAGGAAGCCATGAGAAAAGCTGAAGCTGCTGGAAATGAAGACTGTCCTGTTAAGATTAAATTGGTTGCTCCACCTCTCTATGTCCTTACTACTCAGACTCTTGACAAGGTTAGGGAATCTTCTATCTTGAAAATCATGATTGACCATATTACACACACTCTTCTTATTATTATTATTACGAAGATGTTATATCAAATAAGTGCTCAAGAACAGATGCTAATAAACTGGCCATTGCAACTTTATTAGACAACTATGTAGCTTTGCGAATTAGTCTTACTTGAACCATCACATGTTTTACTGACCCACTTACCTTGAACAATATGATTAAGTGCTATGTTTTGTCTTCTTTTCTAATCTTCTCAGGCTCTTTATAATATAATTACAGGACAGAGGGATTGAAATTTTAGAGAAGGCCATAGCAGTTTGCACTGAGACAATTGAGGAACACAAAGGCAAGCTCGTCGTTAAGGAGGCACCTAGAGCTGTGAGTATCTTTCTTTATTGTTGAACCATCCCAAGTTGTTCATGTCACAAGAACTAGCTTACCTTTATTTGTGGAGTTTTAATTCTCTTGTTCTCTCTATGGTTTTGACAGGTGAGTGAAAGAGATGATAAGATGCTGACAGAACACATGGCTAAGCTAAGAATGGACAATGAAGAAATCAGCGGGGATGAAGAAAGTGGAGAAGAGGAAGAAGACACAGGGATGGGCGAAGTTGATATAGACAGTGGCGCAGGAATCATTGAGTAGTCTATTTTCTATTAAAGTAGAAACCTCCGAGAGGATTTATTTTTTTGTTGAGAGAAATGTTTTTTTTTCACCCGTCGAGGGGTTAAAGTATCAAACATACATTCATGATCTTATAAAGATTCGATTATTGTTTTTGGCAATAGACATTGCTGTTCGGCTGTTCCATTGCCAACATAGAACTTTGCCTTTAAATCAATGTAGTTGTGTTACTAACCAAACTAATTAGAATGATCGACTTCTAATGAAGACATACCATTTTGTTCAAAACTAATTTGGATTGGCGATGATGTGATCCAATTTATTTTTCTTTTTCCAATTTCTTTTTTTTTTTTTGGAAAGAATATTAAATTTTATTCACTCTAAAAACCCTTGTTACATTGAGTAAAAATCACAGATACTCCTAATGAGGCAAAAAGTGATCAGTCATACTCTTACGAATTTCCAGATACTCTCTACTCTTCCTAAAATAAGAGATTTCCAATATTGCCCTTACGTATTTCCTCTCTAATTTGAATTTCGAATTTTAGGTATGAAATTCAAAATTTGAATTTAGAATTTTAGTAAAACTAGAAACTAAGTTGAACTAAGTTACACCATTGCCGAAAATACATTTGGTATAATTATGTCTTAGTTTTACCAAGTTATACTGTTTAACCAAGTTGTACATTTGTCAAAGGTACAACTTGGTAAAACTAGAACCTAGTTACACAAAGTTATACAGTTTTACCAAGTTGTACATTTGTCAAAGGAACAACTTGGTAAAATTAGAACCTACTTACACCAAGTTATACAGTTTTACCAAGTTACACGAAAGTGAAACTACAAATCCAGAAAAACTTGGTAAAACTAAACCTAGTTACACGAAAGTGCAACTTGGTAAAACTGTTTTTCTGGGTTTGTGGTTTCACTTTCGTGATTTAGATCAAAAAACTGAAAATAAAGAAAGTAGATGGAGGAAGAGACAAATCTAAGAAAATTGGAGACGAATCTAACAAAAACGGAGACGGATATAAAAAAGGAAAAGACATAAAAGAAGAGAAAACGGAAGAAACAAAAGAGAAGGAGGAGGAGGCAGAGTGGAGGTGGAGGTGGGAGGCGGAGGTGGAAGAAGAAGATGAAGCAGAGGATAAGAAGGAGGACGATGACGCGAAGGAAGAAGAGAAAAGAAATAAAGTTTACCAAAATCCTTTAACTAAAAAACTATAATGAGAAGAAGAACAAGATGAAGAACAAGAAGAATGAGAGAAAAATAGTAGAGAGAAAGTGTTTTGAAGAAGACAAGAATAGAAGAAAGCGTTAGATCTGTAGAGATAAGAAGAAAATTAGATTTAGTGGTATGATATGTAAATAAGTAGATTCATTAAGGGGTTATTGGGTTCTTAGTCAATTTTTGAATTAAAAATAAATGAAAAAAGAAAAATAGAAAAAGAGAGGAGTATATGAGATCAAAATTTTTGGTCAAAAAGTATATCAACGTTTGACTCTGTTACATTATACAATGCTTCCTACTTCAACTTATTTTTTTTTATATTACAGTTCTCCTATTACAATCTGTGAAAACTCATGAATTTGGTCTAGTAGAAAACCAGTGTTGTAACCCATCTCTCCAGCTATTATCTCCTGCTCTTTGGATAGATAGAAACTTGTTCCTTACTCCTCTATCAATCAATATGATAATCTCATTTGGTGGTTTGGGTGTTTCGCCATGTCGTCTGCTATTTTTCTCCATCCATAGTCCATGGATAGTAGCTTGAAACACATACTTCAGCGTGAATGCTTTGACAATATTCAGATTAGTAGAGGTCAAGGCAATTATTTGCGATTCACAAGTAAACTTATCTCCCATCAAACCTCTCACCAAGTTCCCCAAACTTCCGCTGAAAAACTGCACTAAACAAATAGTTGGTTTCTGGTTTCCAAATGATCATCACAGAGAGAACATGCTGCATTTACATTTCTTCCCCATCTAAGCATTCTTTCTCATGTAGACAATCTACTTTTTATTGCAATCCATGCAAGAAAAGCAAACTTAGGCGTGGCATAGGTGAACCATATACCTGTACTCCAGTCACAACATGATCCTTGCTCTCGAATTAGACTCCAAGTTTGTTTGGTAGAGAATTTCCTCTTAAACTTATCTTCCTTATACTTCCATAACCCAATATCTTTCTCTCTTGTACCTTTCACTATACATTTTTCAGTCGCGTCTTCAATCAAGTTCAGAATAGGGATTATGTGTCTTCTCCTTCTATGTATATTAATTACTTCCTCTACTGCTGCTTCTTTCGTGATTCTCATATCCATATAACCTATTTCTCCCATTTTGTCAATAAGACAACCCAAATCAGACCAAACCTCGTGCCAGAATGAAGTTTTCTCCCCATTATTGACATTCACCTTATAAAAAAACCTTTGCTTTAACTCTGTACTTGAGAATCTTACGCCACATCCAGGGTCCTGCCTGTGACGTTTCTCTAACTGTCCTAAAGGATCCTTTGCAAATCAAGTATGCTCGAATCCATTTAACCCACAAAGAGTTATTCGAAGTTAAGATCCTCCAAACAAGTTTCAAACAGCTCACCTTGTTCATCTCCTTCAGCGGTCTTATACCTAAACCTCCCTCATTTCTTGGCATACAAACTTCCGACCACGCTAGTTTTGCTTTCTTCGTGTTTAATGCTGGACCCCAGAGAAACGCTGTACAAAGCTTCTCAATTTCACGCAGACAGAAAGCATGGAGCCTGAATGCTGATAACCAGAAGTTGGCCATACTTGTGATCACCGACTGGATTAGCTGAAGCCTACCACCAAATGACAAAAATCCACCTGGCCAAGAGCTGATTATGGATCTTATCTTCTCCATTAAAGGAAGGTAATCACTTACAGTCATTCTTTTAGTGAGCAGCGGTAAGCCCAAGTACTGAACAAGAAGTTGACCTCTTTCAAAAGGGATCGAAGTGTCTTCACTATTCTGCATTGCACTCCCTGTTGAAGAAAGAGTAGACTTTTCCAGATTAATCTTCAAACCCGATATCATCTCAAACTCATCAAAAACTTCTAGATTACCTTTAAGCGATCTCTTGGTTTCATTATCAAACATCATTAGGTCATCAACAAAACACAGATGTGTTAAACCAATGTTTTGGCATCTCAGATGATAACCTATTTTCTTATTTCTCCGCTGCTTTATCAATCAGTATAGATAAGACGTTCATGTAGAGAACAAATAAGTAAGGCGATAGAGAACAACTTTGCCTTAAACCTCTTGTGCTCTGAAAATATCCAACTAACTCCCCATTGACTTGGACAGAAAAAGAAGCAATGTTTATGCATAAATTTATCCAATGGATAAACCTTTCTGGAAACCCTAGAGCCTTGAGAGTGTTGAGCAGAAATGGCCACTGGACTGAATCAAAAACTTTAGAGATGTCAACCTTCATGCAACACCTCGCTAAGATCTCATCCTTATGATAGTCTTTGACGAGTTATGTAGCTAGTAACAAATTCTTCATTAGCAAGCGATCACTGATGAATGCTGATTAATTGAGACTATGATCTTTGGTTTTTTCCAATTTCGTTTATTTCAGACTATAAAAGATTTTGAAGTAAAACTGAACCTAACCAATAATATAACATAGAGCTTTAAAGTAGAAAATCTAGGAGAGGATTAGTTCTTTTTTCTTGAGACAAACGTTTTCTCGACTTCTAATAAAGACATATTTTTTCATAAGTGTTATTTTTTTATTTATGTTAGTTTTTAAGAAATTTGTATAAAACTTGCAAGCGCACATAAAATTGATTACTCCTTATGTCTAATATATTTGAAGTTATAAAGCTTATTTATTATTGCATAATATATAAGATTTTCATGTAGAAAAATAAATTTTAACTTTATAACCAATTGTACCTTTTACTATTTATAAGTAATTAAATTAATATTAGTAAAATTATATTTCTAGTGGTTTACGATAAAACATAGGGTTGGACTGTAAAGCATAATTAGAGGAAAACAAAAAAGATTAAAAAACTTTTCAACTGATTTACTCTGATTTCAACCAATCATGATTTGAAACAATTTTTTTTCTGAAGATGTGAATAAAAAACTATAAGTAAAGTAAAAACTGTAAAATTAGCTTCAACTTTAAATGGAATGAAAAGTGTTGCGCCAGCCATAATATTTTTTTCAGCTCTTTTTCACTTTTTTTCTATTTTTTTACTCCAAAATAACCAATCAATGCCAAAGACATTTTTAAACAAATGAATGGGATAATTTCAAATCAATCAAAATGATTTTAGTTATATTTATAAACTGATTTTCAAATCAATCAAATCTTCTCCTTTTGTGGTCAACTATCAGTCAAAATATTTAGACAGTGGATTGGAATTTTTTCTAGTCGTGTCTAAAATGATCCAGCAACATATATCTCATAAATATGGCTCCTTCTCGGTTAGTTCTTCAGACTAACTTTATGAAATATTCCATCTGTTTTATAATAAAGGATGTTATTGATTTATATATTTTAATGGATTTGAAAATATAAGTAAAATCTAGTCTTATTTTAGAATATATATTAAAATTCCTTGTTATTGGTTCTATGATTTTAAAATTTATATTCAAATTCATTGTTATCGGTTTTGTGATTTTAAAATAAATTTTAAAATCAAATATTATTCAATAATAATTTGTTTACTAAAATTTTATTTAAAATTGGATTTGAATGGATTTAGGAGTGATTTTAAGTTAAAAATACAAAGGAACAGATATTAAGTTGCATGTGTTATTTTGATACATCTATATTATTGGTTTTCTTAATATTTCTTCGGCACCAATTTCGCATGTGTATTACATACATTAATTATAAAAAGCACTAACAAAGATTTTGTTAAACGGTCACCAATTTCCGTATGTGTATTACATACGTTAATCATAAAAAGCACTAACAAAGGTTTTGTTAAACGGTAGTCTTAAAAATTTTTCCATTTAAAAACATCAGGCACTCACACTTTCGAAAGTTTTTTTTTCTTCCAATTGTCTAGTTTCTACATTTTCTTAACTAAAATAATGGTTTTCTATTTTCTATCGTAATGGTCCATCATAATGTATATATAATTTATATTACACATCAGAAGATTAACACAAGAAACAAAACTTGAAACCCTTAAAGGCATCAATGGAAGAATCACAACAAGAACCACAAGAACGTGGAAT